GGGGGGGGGGGAGGGGGACCCCGTGTCGGGCGGGGGAGGGGGAGGGGGGTCGAGCCTTGCCGGGGGTGGGGGCGTGGCTGGGGGGGGAGGGGCGGGGGGAGGGCCAGGTGGGGGTGTCCGTCGCGGCGGGGGAGGGGCGGGCGGGGGAGGGGGAGAGTGGCACAAGTGCCCCGAGTGCGGGCGGGGCTTCGGCACCTCCCGGGCCCTCAAGGTTCACCGCAGTTACCACGTGGGCCGGAAACGCCCCCAGGGACACGCCCCGCCCCCTTCCTCTGCCAGCCACGCCCCCCGCGGAGGCCCCGCCCCTCTGTCGTCAGGCCCCTCCCCCTTCAAGTTCCACTACATCTGCGCCGAGTGCGGGTTGGGCTTCGCCGCCCCGGGGGCCTTGGGGGCCCATCGCTGCGAGCACGGACGGCGCCGGCGGCACCGCAGCCCCCCCGGGCCATCCACCCCTCCCCCCGCCCCTCCCCCGCCGCGCCGAGCTGCCCCTCCCCCGCCCCCCAGCCCCCCCTCCCCCCCGACCCCTCCCCCGTTCCGCTGCACCGAGTGCGCCGGGGCCTTCGGGCTGGTGGCCGAGCTGCACGAGCACTACATGCTGCACGCCAGGGGGGAGCTATGAGGGGAGGGGCTTGGCCGCTCGGGACACGCCCACCCCACCTGGGACACGCCCATCCGGGTGGGGACATGCCCACCCCCTCTGTCCCAAATTTGGCTGAGGGAGGAAGAGGAGGAAGGAGAGTTGGGTGATGACATCACTGGCTGGGTAATGGAGGGGGATGACCTCATCCAGGATGTGATTGGAGGGGGTTCTGACGTCATCAGAGAGGTCGTGATGTCATCAGGGGTGCTACAATGTCATCGAGGGATTATGACATCATCAAGGGGGCTGTGATGTCATCGAGGGGTTATGATGTCATCTATGGGGTTGTGATGTCATCAAGGAAAGTTGTGATGTCACCAAGAGGGTTGTGATGTCATCAGGGGGGTGCCATGATGTCATCCGGAGGTTGTGATGTCATCGAGGGGGGGTTATGATGTCATCCAGGGGAATTGTGGTGTCATCAAGGAAAGTTGTGATGTCATTGTAGGGGTTGTGATGTCATCAAGGGGGTGTGTGATGTCATCGAGGAGGCGGGGCCGTGATGTCGTGGGACGGTGGGGGCGGGGCAGGGGGCGTGGCGTGGCCGTGGAGGAAGTGATGTCATGAACAGGAAGTGATGTCGTAATGCGAGGGCGTGGTGTCGTCGATGCGGGGGGTGACGTCATGTGACATCATCACACCCCGCCCCCTTTACAACCAACCAACCAATCAGGAGCCGCCGCTGCTTTTTTTATTAATTCCTCACCACCAGGTGGTGCCAGAGAGCGAGAAGCCACGCCCCCTCCAAAGTGACCACGCCCCCTCCCAACTGGCCACGCCCCTCCAAGCAGCCCATGCCTCCTCTAATAGGCCACTCCCTCCAAAGAGGCCACACCCCCTTTAGTAGACCACACCCCCAAATAGGCCACACCCCTTTTTCTAGACCACGCCCCACAGCACAGGCCACACCCTCTCCAGTTGACCACACCCCTCCAAACCGGCCACGCCCCCTCTCTGACAGCCCACGCCCCTCCCCACGGTCCGTCCTCCCTCCCCTTTGGCCCCGCCCCCTTTCCCCTTGTCCCCGCCCCCTCAGAGCTCCCCGCGGGCGTGTCGGATGTAGTGCCGGTGCAGGGCCCCCTCCCTGGCGAAGGCGCGGCCGCACTCGGTGCAGGCCAGGCCGGGCGGGGCCGCCTTGGGGGGCGTGGCCGGCTCGGGGTGGGCGTGGCCGGAAGTGACGCGTCTGTGGGGGGCGTGTCCGCGCTGGTGTCGCAGCAGGGCCGGGGAGGAGGCGAAGGGCCGGGAGCAGACGAAGCAGACGAAGAGGGCCCCCC